TGCCCAGGCCTGATACCCTGGGTCCTAACCTTGGCACTCTTCACTCTTCCCTTAGACTCTCAGCTTAGACTTCAGATCACCCCAGAGCTTGTAGAACCATCAATGCCCGGGCCCCACTCCCTAGAGGCTCTAATTTAATCGGCTGGGGTGGGCCCAGTATTGACCCTGTTACAAGCTCCCCAGATGCTTTAAATGTGTAGACAGGGTTGCCACCCACTGCCTAGGTAGCTGTTTGCCTCCTAATTCTTCTGCTTACCTCCTGTGTGACGTAGGGTAAGTCTCTCAAGCCCTCAGACTTTGAGCTTCTACACACGTAAGGTACTGTTGTCATTGTGCCATTATTATTAGATGTTAATGTTAGGTACTGCCTCAATGATTTCCCTCTCCCTAGTTTTGACTTTGATTCTTTGGATCAAGGTGGTGTTTAGGATTTCTAAAATAAGCTCTCTAGAGAGCTCACTAATAGCCCAGGTTCATGGGTAAGTGAGCTGGTGGCCTTTCTTTTGTTGGAGGAGGGGATCATGCGGGGCTGCCATTTGTTTGGCACAGGGAGTGCTGAGCTGTGCCTCACTTTCATATGAAAGGTCTCCATCTCCAGGCCCAGACAGCTGACCTTGGGGCACTGCCGTTAAGCCTTGAATAAGTGGCTTATTTACTTTGACTTACGGACAAATGTTCAAAACCACGTACTTCTATGAGCTTAGACGTAGAGAGAAGAAAGGCATTCACATTTTGCTGAGCACTGAGCAGTTTGCTAGGTCCTTCCCATGTATTATCTCATTTCATCTTCAGAACAATCCTGAGAAGTGAAAATTATTGTTCTCAGTTAACAGATGAAGAAGGTTCAGAGAGGTTAAACAGCGTGTGACCTGGTGGTGCCTGATCTCAACCCTGGATCTACTTGATTCTGAAGCTTTCTGCACGGAACTGGGGTGCACTACAAATAATTCAGCTCCTCCTCAGCCAGGATTCAAAAGGATACCAAACTTCCTAAAGTTTATTTTTTCCAGGTTTCTATTTTATTTTATTTTTTTTTGGAGGGGGAGACCCAGAAAGAACCCCACAACACCTGCTAATGCCCATAGTCTGATAAGCCTTGCACAGCACTAGCATAATGATACACAGGTCCAAAGAAAAGGCATTTCCCCCCTGCACAGCCTCTTGGCCGTACAGTTTTATAACCTCATGATGAAACAAAAAACAAACAAACCAAAAAATGTGAAGAGAGTTGGAGAAATAGATATTGCCAGGAGTGAGGAATTCACTGACCCCCAGTCTGGGCCATCTCAGAGAAGTTGGCCACTGGCTGAGCCTCTTAAAAGCTGAAAAGTTATCCCAGGCCATGGTTCAAGAGAGAGCTTGAACAAAACAGAAACAAATGTGATCTTCAAAGTCTTAAATGTCAACTTGAAGGATAACTTAGAAGCTCTGAGATGGGCCAAGAGAACCTGCAGCTGCTCTCTCCAGCATCAGATGGAATAGCCACTTCCCAAGACAGTGTATCAACCAGGGGGCAGCCTCCCTGCTCCGCCCCCACCTTCCCACCCCCCACCCCCAACATAGACATACAACCTGCTCTGCTGCCTTTCTCCCTTCTGAGAGAGTGCAAACACAGGAGTGGTTTCCAGGCCAGATATGCAGGATGCCTGTGCCTCCTCCCACCCCTCCGGATAATGAACCAGCCTTGCTCATGGATGATCCCCGCTGGCCACCTTTTCTAGAGGGAGGAGGTAAGGGTGACCTGAGTCCTCGAGACTCCACCCATTGGCCATCAATAATGGAAAACACGTAGCCAGATTTGGGGAGAGGTCCCTTCCAAACAACATGGGCTCCTGATGGCTGAAACACTGAAAAATGAAATTATGATATTCCTTTTATTCAGGGTCTACAACACTCCCAGCTCTGTTTTAGTCCTTTTGCAGAAGTATCATTACCGTGATAACCTTGGGAGGTAAATGTTATCCTCATGTTACAGATGAGGAAGCTGCAGCTCAGAAGGAATCAGTAATGTAACCCAGGTTACGATTTCTCTCCCAGGCCAGTCTGCTCTGAAGCCAGCCCTCTCTCCGTTGTGCCAGGCTGCACTGGAAGTCCGGAGCTGAAGGACACAGGCTCCCGAGCACAGAGACTCTGGCTGTGGAGATCTAGAGGGTCACCTGCTGTCAAAGCCAAGGACGCCCTCCAGGTTGGTCTTTCAGCCAAGTGCATTTGCCCTTTGGACCTTCAGGAGAGCGTGAGAATGCCTCCTCTCTAAGTACTCTGATCTCAGAGACAACTGAAGAGCTGGCCAGAAGCCTGAGCTGATAGAAGGGGCGAGGAGAAGGCTTCAATATCAGCCCAAGAGTCAGCCCCAGGGAACTCGTCCTGGGGCTGAAGTTGGTGACATGTCTCCCAGCACACACCCAGAAGGTCAGGACTCCACTGACCCTCCAGAGAAACCCTCCAGGCCGAAAGAGCTGAAACCCCAGTCCTTGCCCTCAGCTCTCCCTGAGGTCCAGTGCTGGCACAAGAGCATTTCTGGGATCTACCTCCGATGGGTTCCCTCTGTCCCCAGGTATTCAGCCTTCTATTTGTAAATAGCAGGAATGAGTGGAAACATTTAAAATCGCTACTTCCATTGGTTCCGCTGGAATCAAAGAAGCAAGCCTCAGCCTCGTGGATTATCTTTGCACCCTCCCAATCACCTGTACTTAGACTTGCCCTCTTCTTTACCCCTGGATCCAAGGCTCTTCAGTAAGGAGGAGAGTTTAACCTGTTTTACGTCAAAAACTTTGGGGTCAGGGGTTTGGGAAAGAAGACTGGGGAGAGAACATGTTCCCACAGAAAGAAGGAGTCTTTCAAACTCCCCCCACACTTGCCAGAAAAAAAAATATTTGCAGGCCTTCCTACTGGTCCTGCCCTCACAGCCTTCCCTTTCCTGAACTCCTGACTCGCTTCTAAGTTCTAACGCCCAGGAGATTTTTCTCTCCTCTTTTTCTCCTGATGGGGGCACGAGTATTCCCTCAGCACCCCAGCATCTGGAGGAGAAGCTCTGAAAACTTGCCTAGGAGCTGTGAGCCAGAGCCGGCAACTACCAGGCAGCAAGACAATAACAGCACAGCTGTTTTTTTTTTTGAAAAGAAGAAATGGGGGTCGGATGCAGCTCCCAGCACGGATGAGAAACGGGCCGTGTATGCTTCCACGCCTGAGGCCACGACCATCCCCACACGGTTACGGTCACGGTCACGAAGGCATAAACATGCGCCTGCACGCGCATCTCACGGTACGCGGCTACCCCTGCTTACAGGCACTTTTGTTTACACTGCCCTCGGTGATTTCCTTCATCTTTATTACACTCAAGTTGAAGACAGACTCCTGAAGTCAAATGAGTCTCTTTCTGACATTGCTGTCTGCTCCATCTTTTATAGCGCTTCCCTAGGGGTCTATTTGTATAATTTCTAAAATCCTTCCCAAATCTCGAACTTCCTGTGGGTCCGTTTTTATATCCACATTTCCTCCCTGTCCCTTCATTCGCTCATTTGTCTAGGACACAGGGAGAGTCCAGTAATCTTCCTCCCACCCAAACATTGTAGGTTGGCTCTATTGCAAAATGCAAAACCAGAGACCTGATGAGGGCAAGGCTGAAAGGACTCTGTGGTCACTCGTTTGTTGACCCCAGCTATTGACATCCAGCACAGCGCATTGGGCAATCCAGGGCTGATGGGTGCACGGAGCCCCACACCCCCTTTCCTCCCACACTCCGTGAGCACAATCCCCCTCTGAGTCCTAGGGAAAATCCATTCCCACCATCAGCCAACTTTTCAGAGAAATCCAAGAAACTGACCCAAACGGAGAAGAAGGGACACACAAAACTTGAAACTATTTAAAGATGGGAAGTTGTTTTCATTCCCATGTAGACTTCAAGGAGAACCTCCAGGGACTTTTTCCTAGAGAGGTGTGATTTTCCTTCCCACCTTCCCAGGAACTTGGCAAATCCACCACAGAACTGTGGAAACATGGCCAAAGCAGAGAGAGAAGAGTTAAATCAAGCCCAGACCTCAGCAATCTGTGTTCAATTTTGATAAAAATCTCTCTCCCTCTCCCCCACCGCCCCCCTCCTCCACCCCACAGCTCAGACATGTCTCTCTATGTTACGGGCTTGCATCTTGTTTGGGGCACCACAGTGCTCCCAGAGAACCCGGCACGGCCCCCACCGTGGGCACATGTGGCAGACACATCCATCCCACTCCACGGGCAGGGCTGGACACAGAGGCGCACAGCCCCGGCCACCACCTCCTCCTCCTCATCTTCCTTACAATTACCTGCCTCCACACCAGATCCTTCCTTCCTCCGTTAAGCCAAAGTCCCATCACCTGGCGATGTCAGGGCCACTGCAGGAGGCTGGGCAGTGGCCCCAGATGCTGAGGTCCCCAGAGTCAGGACCCCTCTCCTGGGATGCTGCTTCCCTGGCCCAAGGTCCTACTGCCACCGAGAGCAAGAACCTCAGGCTCCCACTGCCTTGCCTGCTGGCTGGAGGCCAGGCTTGCAAGTGGGAGCTGGGAGTTTGTGAAGAGTTAAATCACAGAATGAAGACACAAGCTGAACCGGGAAAAGCCACCACCACAAAGTTGTCCGTTTGGGGGGTACCGGCTATGTTTGTCCACTTGTGACAACAAGGAATCAGATTTCAAAGCCACACAAAAACATTTTTTTAAAGTTTTCCAGAGACACTTCCTGTGTCAAGATGGGCCAAAACAGACAACACACACACACGCAAATCACACCCATGCACAGAGACACGCACACAGGCCCTGGGAGCCCACTCAAGTATCCGCGGCTCCTGCAAACACTCTGGAGAAACAAAACAGCCAGCCTGCGGAGTCGCTGCCTTCCCAATCCCCTTTAGCGTTGTAAAGAGAGCAGAGGGGGAGAAAAGTGTGGCAGTGCCGCCAGAGAGCGTCCCGCGGCCGGCGCCCACCCCACGGACCGAGGTAGAGAGGAGGCAGGGCAGGCGCACTTACTCCGAGGCCCCCATGGCGCGTCCGCCGTCCCTGCAGCCCGGACCCCCGGCTGCGGCGCGCGCGGGCCGCTCTCCCCGCGCCGCTCTGCACTCTGCTGTAACCGGAGCGCCGCCGCCGCCTCCCCTCCCGGCCCGGCCTCGCTGCCGCCCGCCCTCCCCTCTGACGTCAGGCGTCTTGGAGCGGGATATTTATGGCAGGGATACTCTGAATTTTCCCTAGGTAGAGTTCTGATTGCAGCTCCTTGGGATTTGTAATTTTCACACTTTCAGACAGAAAGGAGGGGAGAGAGGAAGGGAGAGCGCAGCCGGCAGGGCGAGGCAGACAATGAGGGTAGCTGTTTCCAGCTTTGGCAAGGAGCCTTCTCAGGGCTCCCTCTGTTTGGGAAACATGTAAGGGTCAAGGAGGCCAAAGTGGCCACCTGGGCAGTGGGTTTCTCCTCGCTCTTTCCCTGGGCGACGAGCAAAAAGGGCTGGTCTGAGCTGGCTGGGAGTCAGGTGCTGCGGAATACCCTCTCCTTCCCCCAAAGTGTCCCTTCATGAGACAATAAGCACCCTCCAGAAGGTGCCAGGGCGAGAAAGAAGACGAATCGGGCAGACCAGAACAGCTCATTAGAAGCCCTGGTCCACGCCCTAACAACTTTTCCATTTCTTCTTTGGGAGTGTGTATGCAAAAAAAAAAAAAAAAGTTTATTTTTACTAAATTATGTTCCACACTCCCTACCTCTGTATAGCTTTTCCAACTCAGCGCCAGTCAATTTATCTTACTTCATTGCTTATATACAGGGTTTGAGCTGTTTGCAATAGCTCTTATTCATACCTTTAAAAATTGCTTTTAATTTTTTTCTTAAATGTGATTGTGATCCATCTCCTGGACCGGACTAGAAATGGCCTTAGTCAAGAGTCACTCTCTCCTCCATAATTGGCACCATCCTCAGGGTAAGTATTTGATCTCTGTTTCCCTCACACTCCTAGGAGCCTGCAAGAAGATGGTGCCCACACTGGGTGATGATCCATGTAGAGTTTTCTAGGTGTTCAGGTCTGGATTCTGATGGTTGTCTGTTTCTCCACCTAGCTGAAGGGGTCTAGGGAAATCACTTGGTTTAAGGGCCATCCTTCCAGAGTGGCAAAAAAGAGTGTAATGCTTTATCCCTTATGGATCCCAAGGATTGGAGAATGAACTTAAAAAGGATACACATGAGATGCAAATTGCTTGTACAGTTAGATAACATTAGTGTGTAAGTATTCAATTCCCCATCAATGAGAAGGAGCACAGATAACCACAAGTCATCACTAAAACAACTTGACTCTGGTGAACTTTCCGTGAGACCAGATGGGGTAGAGGTGGGGGTGTGTGTGCCTTAACCACAGTTACAGTCAGCAGGGACTCAAGGACTTGGAATGTGTTTACCCCTTTGGCAGCAGCTGGTTAGAGCTGACTTTCTGAGAAGCCAAGTCTTGGGGCTGGGCTCCTTGGCTGGGGACAGCCAAGATGTTTTGGTCCAAGTCATACAGGGCCCAGAGCTCTGCTCTTTGCTCACTGTTAGGTTGCCCTCCTGAGCATCATATTCCGCTGCCATGTCCCTCCATCCCCTTCCTCACATCAAGGCTCCATTGGCAAGGTGAGCTCTGCTCTGTAGTAAACATTGAAAATTGGCTTCCAAAAGCCATTGACAAACCCCTTCTCCCTTGCCTTCCTCAACTGAGGAAACTAGAAGTCTACAATATTCACCATCCCAGACTCCCTTGTAACTAGGAATAGCTATGAAACCCAGTTCTTGCCAGTGAGGTTGGCATGCAGCAATCAGCTTCCACAAAAACTCTTTAAGAAAATAGATTCAGATGGCATGCCCTTTCAATCCTTTGACATTCTCTATTCCTCCTTCCCCCATTTCTTCTCTCTCGGAACATGGATATGATGCCTGGAGATACAGCACCACCTTGCAACCTTGAGAACAAATGCCATTCCCTTAAAGATGGTGGAGCAGTATGGTAGAAGGAGCCAAGGCCCTGTATGACATCCATAAGTGGCTGTACCTTCCTCTGACTTCTTATTAGGTGAGAAAAATAAATTCCCATGTGTTTAAGTTATTATAGTTGAGTCTTCTGTTGTTTGTAGCCAAATATAGTCTCACCTGATACACTCCCATTGGTCCACCAAAATACAAAATTGGGACAATTCCTTAACATTAGCTTACACGTATGACAATGATTATTAACATGATACCTTGCACTGGCATAATTCTTTATAGTTTTCAAAGCCTATTCACATATATCTCCTCTGAACCTCACAATTTGGGGAGGCATCACTATAACCTCCATTTTTTTATGCAAGAAAAGAAGCCAGATCTGATAAATGCCCCAGATCACACAGTCAGCATATAAGGGACCTTGGACCCTAACCTAGTTCCTCTGACTCCAAATCTTATTCCTACTAAGTCAGTGTGAATTCTATTTAATTCAACCAAGAGTCAACCGTTGTCTCTACACCCGAATCTATAGTTCAACCACCATTTTCCGTTAATCTCACTTTTCCAACCGCGTATTGTCTGTGTTGCCCAGCATATAGCAAGCAGTAAATAAATGGTATCTATTTGTAATTATTATTGTAAGAAAAGGATGCAGGAAAGTTACTAAAGCAAAAGAGAGTTTTATGACACTCATTTCTAGTATCAGGAGCTCTGGTGTGGCCATCCTCCCTTGGCAATCATGCCACAGGCCAATCTAATTGTCCACAGTCATAAGAAGATGTAGAGGACTTAATAGAAATTAGCAACAGCAGAACAAATAGAAATGAAGTGGCAGACCTAAGGAGAAATAGAATATCCTCATTAACTCTTTTTTATGTGCAGGGTCTATGAGCCTGTCTATGAGCCTAACACTGAGTAACTTCATTCCAGGCAAAGCAAGAGAAAGGAAGGAATTAAAGATGAGGTGCGATAGGGCCAGAGACTTAGAGGCGATGGGTGGGGAGCATGAAGAGGTCAGGAACAGGGGAAGTGAGGCTGTGCAGCAGAATATTCCAGGTCTAAGAGAGGGGAGTCTCTATCCCTGGCCAGAGCTGTCTTGGGCTCTGTTGGGAAGAGGAGCAGGTGAAGTTCATAAAATGTGTGGCTGTCAGTGCTAAGGAGCATTTTTGAGGCTGGTGAGCTCTGAAGAGTCCATGAAATGGGAGATCCTTTTCCAAGGTCATCTGATTGACCCCCTACCACCAACCCTGTCACACACAGAACCCTAATGTGTATGTGGGAAGGGTATGTCCTATTCTCAAGACCACCATGGAGGGAGCTCCATCTTTCTTCACCCATCAGTCACCTGCGCATTCCAGGAATGTTCCCTGAACATACAATGAAGCTGTGTGCAGCACACTGCTCATCTGGAAAATTCTACCTGCTCACTGAGGGATTCTCAAAGAATTCACCAAGCTTGTCCCGGCTTCCAAAGCTGACCATATACTTCCAAAGTCCAGCCTATTCATGGGGAGAAGTAGGCTTCACAAAGGTCCCTCTTCGTTCACTTCCCAGGGGCAGAACTCCTGGTCTATACTGCATGGACCTTGGGAGCACTCAGTAAAGACCTTTGGAAGAATGAATGAGAATCCCATGAGTATTCCGTCTAATCACTGTGAGGCACTCCATGAATAACATACCCCTTTCCTTGATTTACAGACACGGGCTATAAAAGATTGTGCAGAGAACTCAGGTGTCAGAATCAGAGAGCCTGGTTAAATCACCAGCCTTTCCTCTTACTGCTGTGTGACCTCAGCATGGCAGGTAACTTTCTGAAGCTTTCTGTTTTTGTGATGGTTAATTTTGTGTATCAACATGACTGGGCCATGGTGCCCAGATATTTGGTCAAACGTTATTCTGGATGTTTCCATGATGGTGTTTTTTGGGTGAGATTAATATTTAAGTTGGTGAACCTCCTTAATGTGAGTGGGCCTCATCCAATCATTTGAAGGCCTTGATAGAACAAAGGCTGACCTCCAGGATTCTGCCAGCAGATGGCCTTCAGACTCGAACGACAAGTCTTCCTTGGCTCTCCAGCCTGTCAGCCTACCCCATCAGATTTTGGACTCACCAAACCTCCACAATTGCATGAGCCAGTTCCTTAAAATAAATCTACCTATCTGTCTGTCTATCTATCTATCTATCTGTTCACACACACACACATACACACATACATCTTGTTGGTTCTATTTCTCCGGTGAACCCTGACTAATACAGTGTTCCTTATCGATAACATAGGATGAAGATCATTCCATCCCAAAGGATTGTTTAAAAGGTCAAGTGAGGGGCCAGCCCGGTGGCATAGCAGTTAAGTGCACGCGTTCTGCTGCAGTGGCCCAGGGTTCGCAGGTTCGGATCCCAGGCGTGCACTGATGCACCGCTTGTCAAGCCATGCTGTGGCGGCGTACCATATAAAGTAGAGGAAGATGGGCATGGATGTTAGCCCAGGGCCAATCGTCCTTAGCAAAAAGAGGAGGATTGGCATCGGATGTTAGCTCGGGGCCAATCTTCCTCACACACACAATAAAAAGGTCAAGTGAGGCAAAATGGATTGAAAGTCCCTACCTTAATGAGTTCTTCTGAGACTGGGGAGAAAAGGGAACAATGAGAATTGTGAGGTCTCTCTCATTCCACCACATAAGCTGTCAGAATCAACCTGCTGGTCCCCAGGCTTTGCTCAGGGAAGTGCCCAACTCTGTATCAAGGGTGCTGTTAATGCCTAGAAGGCAGAAGAAGCTTGTTCTAAACTGGACCCAGTTTAGCACAGACATGTCACACATCAGGTGTTTTGATCATGGGCCTGATCCTGCTTCTCTCGCTTATAATAAAGGATGTGACTTCCATTGTTTCAAACAGGCCTCCTGGACTTCCATTGTTGGATGGTAACTTCCAAGGATAGGACTAAAGAGAGAAGTCCAGAGCTACCACAGTTTCTTCCTGGAGAGGACCTATCAATAGGACATGAACTGCTTGAAGGTGTGTTGGGCCCTCGTTGTGGTGTGATATAGTAGAAAGACCTCAGAATATGGCACTGGAAAAGTCTGGTTTCTAACCCCAGCTCTGGCTCTTGCAG